TTGCATTATGTTCTATCATGTGAAATGTGTTTTGAATGTCAAGTTTGAGCATAATAACCTCTTTCTTGGATTGTTTACACTGGAATAGATACATAAAAGCCCACACCAAGTAGTCCTGGATATGTTTGGATTTAAAAAAAATCATATTGATTGATGTGCACCAAATGAAGAATATCTCTTTGTAGTCTATTTGCAAGAAGCTTTGTGACATTTTTTTGTGTGGGAAAACTTTTGATCTATTCATCAAACATCATGGCAATACAAAGAACACAAGTAGCAATAGGAATTACATACATGTTCGTAGACTACTTAGCGACGACTACAAGCACTAGAGCGAGCTAAAGGCGTGCCGCCGTCATCGCCCCTCCTTCACCGGAGCCGAGCAAATCTTATTATAGTAGACAGTCGAGAAGTCGTCATGCTAAGGCTCCAAAGAACCAGCACACCAGAACAACAACCGTCACTAATAAAGAGAAGCATAGATCAGAATGATCAAACCTATAGACAAACGAGCGCAGATGAACGAAGATCGACCGGAGACAAACCGAATCCCGCAAGATCCGTCAGAGCACACCTCCACACGCCCATTGATGATGCTAGACGCACCGCTGGGACGGGGGCTAGGCGAGAAGAACATTAATTTATCTTCAGGGAGCTGCCACCGCCTCGCCTTCCTGATAAGAACACAAACCCTAAAGGAACTAAAAAATACACCTAAAAATGAAGTGGAAGCCCTCCCAACGGCAAGGGCCGGGATCCACCACGCCTTCATGACCCTAAGGCGAGAGAAGATGAAGCAGATTGGCAGCAATGCGAGCGGGAGATGGAGAAACCTTGGTCACGAGAGGACTTTCTTGTGGAGGAGGGAAAAGAAACGCTGTTTTGTGATGATTTTGATGAAAAATTTACCGTGTAATTCTGCTCATTCTCACTGACCGCTTTCCAATTCTGGATGCAACTCTCCAGCTCTTATGCTCCTCAACGTAATCCGAGGGGAATTTGCAAAAAATTAAAATGCGATAAAATAAGAGAACCCTTGACATATGACTTGTGTGCCGGAAAAAGAAAGTGGAGCGATCGGTAGGAGGAAAAGAAAGGCTATGGCATTGTTTAGCATACATTTCTCGTTGGTCGAAATGAAATTGTCGCTAGCATTGCTTCCATGCAACGTCGATGTGACCGGCGAGTGCAGCAGCTACGCCCATGGTCCATG